TACCATTTGTAAGGATATATGTAGACACATATGAGAAACTTAGCAAATGCCTATGTTGAACCATTTATGAAGGAAGGGAAAGACATAGGCTAGATCTCTATCAAGGTTAAATATGAGTAGTATCAGGGCCTTCCTGGTTATGCAAGGGGTTAAGACGCAACCTATCAAGCTGTCCGCAGTCACTGCAGCACAAGTTCAATCCCTGGCCAGGGAGCTACCCACATGGCGCAGAAGACCTCTGCTGCCTCTGCCACTGCTCCCCTCAGCAATGTATTTCAGTCAGTCTGCCTGTTCTATTTCCCACTCTGTCTCTGGTGAATCCTCTCATCCCCACACCTCTGGCCTGTACCCCAGTTCTTGCATGCATAAATAAATAAATCTTAAAAAAATGAGTAGTATTATAATTATGAAAATCAGTACTACTACTCTAATAATTTCTACATGCACATTGATATATAATTACAAAGCAATTAACATGTTTGGCAATACTTACTTTTCTCTCAAATCCATAAAAGGAAGACTTGTTTAGCTAACTGAGTTTCTTTTCTTCATAATGGAACTGATAAAATAAGCTCCCTTCTCCTACATTAGTTGAGAATATCTACCACAGACTGAAATATCTGAACAATACCTCTCCAATACCTGAAGCAGAAGAAATTATCACAAAGGCTAAAATTCCCTCCCAAATAATTGCATATACTTTCATAACATTGTGAAGTTTCCTGGTCCTCCCTGGTGGTACAAGGAATTATGTCTCAGCACTATCAAGCTATCGGCAACATGAGTTCAATCCCTGCCAGGGAGCTAACCCACATGTCACAGCAGACCTGTTTTGCCTGCTGCTCCCCTTAGCTGTGTATTTCAGTAAACACGACTCTTCTGCTTCCCACTATCTCTGGTGAATGCTCTCAACCCCCTGCACCTCTGGCCTACACCCCAGTTCTTGTATGCATAAATAAATTTAAAAAATAGTAAAATTTAGAAAAATTTTCCTAATCTCAATTGCACTTGAAAGCAACTCAGAAAAGGTTTATAAGGGGGCCTCCCCTGGTTGCACAGCGGTAGAGCGCTGGGTTGCAAAGCTGCCCACAGCCTCTGCAGCACTGGTTCAATCCCCGGCCACTGGCGAGGGTCCCACATGGCGCGCAGACCTCTCCTGCCGCCCTCTGCTCCCCTCAGCAGTGTACTTTGGTCCGTCTGCCTATTCTGCTCCCCGCTCTGGCTCTGGTGAATTCTCTCACCCTCCCCTGCTTCTGACTGTACCCAGTGCTTGTATAAATAAATAAGTAAATCTTAAAGAAAAGGTTTATAAGGGACATGTTTTTATGGAATCCATTTCAAGATGAGGAGATATGTGAGAATAAAGCGGCATTTGACTGGGAAATGACAACTAGGAGATATCAGAGTGTTTGTGTACAGAATAGGCTGCTTTGCTAAAAAAAAAAAAAAAGAAGCATTGTTTTTTCTATGTAATTTATAATTCACTTAATCTCTTTGGCGATATTTTGTTAGAAAATAATTACAGTCTATAGATGCACTCCTCTTCCCGTGTATGCTACCACATCACGCCCACCATCAAAACACCCGTTATCCTTCCCCCTTAGAATTTAGAATAAATTCATTCCGTGTTCTAAATTAATCTTGCATGTTCCTCTGAATTATATACAGTATTGTAAATCAATGTTACATCAATAGAAGTATACAGATAAATATAAACAAACAAACAAATAAATACATTTCCCTTCCAGTGATCTCTCTCATCTCTGTAGGAGATAAAAATATCAAGTATGACACTTCATTATATATTAGCTTTGTTAATTTGGTTGCCTCTGGTTATTTGGCTCCTCTGGTTAGAATACCACATCATTCCATTTCCTATTTTCTATCTTTCCTATTGTCTAGTGTATTTTCCTACCTAATATTGAAGCTCTATTTGAAAAATCTGCTTCTAAAGAGTTGACAACAGTCACTTTCTAGGCACAGACTATTTATAGGTAAATTATCTGATGCCAGTCCATTTTGTCCTTCTCATCAAAATTATCCAGGATTGTTAGGTGTTTGATTTTTCTATGTAAAATATATGCTTGGATTAACTTAGAAGAAAATTATTAACAAAAGATAAATAAGCCAAGGAGTTTAGAGTCTTTCAATATTTGATCTTCACAGATGACAAGGCACTATCTGAAGTGGACAAGTGGTATAAAAAAATTAGTGTGAATTGATTTCATTTTATCTTAGTGAATAGAAAGGAATAAAAATGAAAAAGGTTTCCAGAAGCTAGATTGTTAATAACATAGAATAATAGTGAACAGAATATCTTTAAAATAATATTTGATGGGGGAAAGAAAAGAGCAAAGAGGACTTCAGACTCCAAAATATATGAAGAAAACATAATCTATATCAGCCAGACTGATGGATTCAGTAATATCTGATGCTAACTCCTAATGTCCAGATTATTTATAGCATTTTTTTTAACAAACAATATTGCCTTTTCGCAAAAGATGTAGCATGACTTAGAAAGACACAAAGTTATGACAATAGAGTACTCTAAATTAGATGCAGGGATAAAAGAAAATCTGTTACAGTAATATTAAATGAACCTATTATCTGAACTGTCTGAAAAAGAAAGCAAACTATAAAAGGCCATAGCCATTTTTTATCTATCTGTCCTATCAGATAGATTTCAATTTCACTATAAGTTTCCTAGAGGCCAAATAAAAAGAGAAATCTGATCAATTTCATAATTTACAACATCCATGTTAAAAGCAAAGCAATTTACTCAGGAGAAGGGCAATTATTCCTGCTACTAAAACCTGATAGAAATTTCTCCCAAGGGTTATCATAAAGAGAACAGTATAAAATATAATGAAATATGCCTTTAACAATGTCTTTATGATAGACACCAGTAAGAGTTTCATAGACCTGCTTTTTTATGGTACCCCTTACTATATACTGATGGTCTAGCTAGCTATATAGTTTAGTACAGGCATGGGTGTTTGAGAAACTGGGAAAATGGATAAAGAATAAAGTTTCAAAGATTCTTTGAAAACATCTTAATCTTAGCAAAGCATCTCAGAAAGAAATGAGAAATATAGTCAATAACCTTTATTCTCATTATAACATGTATGTTCTTAGATAAATACGGCGCACTCTCAGAAGACTCAATTTGTTCAATCAGTAGTTATTGGACATCTATAATTTACAGAGCACTGTATTAGGCACAGAAGAAACAGAGGGGATAAAACAAATGTTGGGACAAAAGCAATTTAGTAATGCCAATTAAAAATTTAAATAAATACGTCAGACAACTTGAAATTAAAAGTTGGCATTTTCTTGTGAAAATTGAAGGCACTTCAAGCTTTGGATTCAATTCAAGGGCATACTCTCTGGTTTAGGTCTCTCTTCAAATATTGGTTTGAATCTGGTTGGACATGTTAATGGGCACTTGCTAAATGACCTAGTCTAAGCACAGTCACAATGACTTTTGGGGGAGAAATCTAGTCTCATTCCATCTCAGGTTTTTATCTAAAATATGTACCTTAACACTTCTACCACACCAATGGCTTTAAAACTATGATTTGAGAAGCTAAAGTTATATTTTCCTTGAAGTTGTCTCAGAAGACATTAGGGGAGTTGGAGAAAAAGAGAAAGTTCAACTGAGCCCTCCCTTGTTTAACCATGTATATTAGCCTCAGACATCTTTGTTGCTGAAGTAAAAGTGGGTCTTTTTTACAAGCAGTTTTTAAATGTTTTGAAACCACTGTACTACTTTGTACTATTTTCATAATTTTATTTTCTCTACAAAGATTGATACATCTAGTCAGTAAATATGTACTGTTCGCATGCTATATCCAGGATCTAGATCTACAAGGCTAAATGTCACGTTCTTTTGTCTCAAGGATCGCAATGTTAGTGACAAGAACCCTAAGTGCATTAGGCTACAGATTGGAAACTGCTGAATCAGCCATAAATCATAGTTATACAATGGTATATATAGCTGAGGGGAAGCCAGACTAAATAGGAGTGAATGGAGAACTTCAGATGTCTTATACTATTGGCAGCTTTAGCACTGAGCCTCAAAAATTGACAGATTTAGGAAAACAAGGTTGATAAATGTCATTTTACGCTATGGAATAAGGGAAAGAGTATGTCAAGCAGCATGATAAACTGAAAAAATAATTTTTTGTGACTGATGCATAAAAGGAAATGAAATATTCAAATATGGAAGAGGTCAGATCATAAAGTACCAGCTGAAGCAATAGATTTGAACCAAAAGACAAGGAGAGAACAAAATAAACAAAACTTTAGAATAAAGCCATAAGCACATTTGTGTTTTTGAAAAATCATTCCAACATTATTATAGGGGATACAAAAGAGAAGCTAAGAATAGAGTCAGGAGGGGTAATTAGGAGGTTACAGCAGCAATTGGGAAGAAAATAAATAGGATTCTGAATTAAGTGAAAAAATTGTCATGAGAGGAGGGAGGTATGAGAGATAATAAAAGGGTGGATCATATGGGATTTTGTGACTTTTATGACGCATTCTTTTTTTTTTATTCTGCATAAGCAATCTTTTAGTTTGCATCTTTTAGTGTTACTTCTCTCTATATAATTTTATTCTTGCTTTCTGATTCATGTATATGTAGATATACTTTAAAATTTTTGAAATGCTGCCCTTTTCATATTCACCAAATCTTACATGGCAGTCCACTTGAAACTTGAACATTTAATCACTTAGCACATTCTGCCTGCATAACAAAGCTCACCATTATAATCCTCCAGTTATTACAAGATCTGTGCTGTCTCAGATACATTTACACTTCAATTACAATTACAATGCTTTCATCTTAACAGCTTCTAGTTTCTGAAGGATTAAGTCTCAAGGATTATGTTATAATGAGAATAAAGGTTATTGACTATGTTTCTCATTTCTTTCTGAGACACTTTGCTAACTAAATAAAAGTGAAACCAAATTTATGCCAAGATGTTTTCTCCCTGCAGGAAAATATAATGGAAGTTATGAGAAATCAAGAATTTTTACTGCTTCCAGCAGAGGAGCTCCATAAACTCCTGGCCAGTGATGACGTAAATGTTCCTGATGAAGAAACCATCTTCCATGCATTAATGATGTGGGTCAAGTATGACATTCAGAGGAGATGCAATGACTTGAGTATGCTTCTTGCCTTTATAAGACTACCACTGCTTCCACCACAGGTAACTGCCCGTGAAACTGTTTTAATTGCTATGAAATACCAAGAAAGCTTGTATGAATGATAACATCATAAAACATTAATATTATTTACTCACATTTTTGTCTTTATTTGTAATCTCTCTAAGGTAAGTACTCACTGTAAGGTAAATTTGATGGTGTAAAAATGATGGGACATGGATCATAGATCTAAACCCTATCTCTGTCACTTACTGATTCATGGTTATTTGACTTTGAGAATATCACTTAAATTTTCTGATATTCATCTTCTTTATGTGAGGATCAGATTAGATAATATATGTAAAACACCTAAACTTGGGCCCTCCCCGGTGGTGCAGGGAGTTGAGTGCAGCGCTGTGAGGCTGTCCACAGCCTCTACAGGGCAGGTTTGATTCCTGGTCAGCCAGTGAGCTCCCCACATGGCGTTGCAGCCTCTCCTGTCCCGCCTGCCGCTCCCCTCAGCAGTGTTTCCCGTCCATCTGTCCATCTGCCTGTTCTGCTCCCCACTCTGTCTCTGATGAATCCTCTCACCCTCCCACTCTTCTGGCCTATGCCCCAGTTCTTTTTTTTTTTTTTTTAAAGATTTATTTATTTTTTTATACGAGCACTGAGTACAGTCAAAAGTGAGGGAGGGTGAGAGAATTCACCAGAGTCAGAGTGGGGAACAGAACAGATAGACCAATGAAATACACTGCTGAGGGGAGCATCGGGTGGAAGGAGAGGTCTGTGCACCATGTGGGACCCTCACCCGGCAGCCGGGGATCGAACCGGCGTTGCAGAGGCTGCAGGCAGCTTCACAACCCACTGCTCAACCGCTGCAACACCAGGAGAGGCCCTGCCCCAGTTCCTTTATGTATAAATAAATAATTCTTAAAAAACAGACAAACAACAACAACAACAACAACAACAACAACAACAAAAAAAAAACCTAGGGCCTCCCAGGTGGCGCAGGCAGTTGAGCGCAGCACTGTGAAGCTGTTTGCAGCCTCTGCAGTACGGGTTCGATCCCAGCCGGCCGGGGAGAATCCCACATGGCACGGCAGACCTCTCCTGTCTTGCCCACTGCTCCCCTCAGCAGTGTATTTCATCAGTCTGCCTGTTCTGTTCCCCACTCTGTCTCTGGTGATTCCTTTCATTCTCCCGCACATCTGGCCTGTACCCAGGTCTTGTATAAATAGATAAATCTTAAACAAACAAACAAACAAAAAAATAAACTCATGCAGTAATTTGAATATTTTTAAAGTGTTACCATAATTACTTCTCTGCTTTCCTGTGTTAAAATATATATGAATTCATATATAAATGATACCATCCAATATTTGTTTTCTTCTTCTGGCTTATTTCATTTAGCACAATTCCCTGAAGTTCCATCTGTGTTATTGCAAATGGTGAGAGTTTATCTTTTTTATAGCTGAGTAATATTTCACACAGACACACACACACACACTATATATATATATATATATATATATATATATATATACACACACACCCCACACACACATCTTCTTAATCCACTCATTTGTCATTAAGCACTTCAGCTTCTATTATAATTAGTGCTGCAATGAACACAGGTATGCATAAATTTTCCTTTCACTTAGTAGTTTTTATTCTTAAGGTAGATACATGGGAGGGAAACTGCTGGATGTTATGGTAGATATACTTTCAGTATTTTGAGAAATCTCTACATTGTTTACCATAGGAGTCGACCAATCCCATTTCTGCCAACAGTACACAAAGGTTCCATTTTCTACAATACTCAACAAAAATTCCTTTTTTCTGGACTTTTTGTTTTGGGCCATTCTCATGGGTAGAGTCCTTGGGATTTTTTTATGTGTGTGTGTGTGTGTGTGTGTATATATATATATATGTACATATATACACATACATATACACATATAACATGTTTTTTATATATACATACATATATACACATACATATATGTACGTATATATATATATATATATATAACCATGTTATTTGCAAAAAGTGATAGTTTTACTTCTTTCCCAAGTTGAACGCCTTTTATATTTTTCTATTGCCTGATCGCTCAAGCTAGGAATTCCAACATTATGATGAATAGTAGTATTGAAAATAGACATTCTTATCTTATACCTGATCTTAAAGGAAAAGCTTTCAGTTTTTCACCATCAACTATGATATTAACTGTGAGTTTGTTATATCAATAGCTTTTATTATGTTTACATCTGTTCTGACTACTACCATTTTGAGATATTTTATCATGAATGGATGTTATTTTATCAAATGCTTTCTTTGCATGTATTAGTATAATCATATACTTTTTATCTTTCATTTTGTTGCTTTGGTGAATGACATTAATCCATTTTTGGATGTTCAACCATCCTTGTATCTCTTGACTAAATCTCACTTGGTCATGATGAAGCAATAGTAGAAAAGACAAAGAAGACTTAAAGATTTTTATGACAAATAAATAGATTAATTAAACTTTCAGGATAAAGCCAAACTGAATAACCTGTAAGTATTTTATAGCTCTGAGTTTTTACATTTCTACTTAGTGGCTGCACAGAAAAAAAAATCTTAAAAAAATAAAATGAAAGACTTCCTCTAAAGAAAACATGTGAAAGATCATTAGCTCTAAATAATAAATTTAGATTACAATGACAGTTTTCTCTTATAATTATGAGACAATTGCTCAACTTTACTTAGAACTTCAGTGTAATCATTTCTCATAATCAGTATTCTAATGCTTCTGTATTGCCAGGTCCATTATGTGTATTGGTTTAGTTATTTTTTTATATTCACAGATAACATGTATTCTGATATTCTTTATTCTTTATAAATTGACATATGATATTGTATAATATAAAGTATGGTTATTTGAGGTTACAATTATAATGAAGGGGTAATTTTATAGGGAATATGGATTTTAATTGAAAATAGTGGTAGACAAAATGAGCTTCAGAAAAGATAAGTAGAAAAAAATACAGGACTCGGAGGCACCAATGTTTACATTATCCTCTATTGAAGTCCTCTATCATGAAATAAATTCAATTGACTTTGCTATAGAAAGGATTAGAGGAAAGGGCAAAATGAATGGAATGTATAATTGAGTTACAGTTTAAGAAATAGTGAATGACTTCTAGTATCCTTTTAAATAAGTGAAGTAGAATTTTACATAATACTTTTATATTTTTCATTAAAACTCAGAGGTTTAAAATTTTCAACAGAATTAGAAAACTGAAAATTTCATTTTATAGTGTATGATATGTTTGTATACATATTTGAACATATATTTGTGCGTGTGTGTGTGTGTGTGTGTAAAAACAAGGGGGCTTGGGCCTCCCCGGTGGCGCAGCGGTTGAGCGCTGGGTTGCGAAGCTGCCCGCAGCCTCTGCAGCACTGGTTCTATCTCCCGCTGCTCCCCGGCCACCAGAAGAGGGTCCCACATGGCGTGCAGACCTCTCCTGCCGCCTGCTGCTCCTTTCAGCAGTGTGCTTCGGTCTTTCTGCCTGCTCTGCTCCCCGCTCTGGCTCTGGTGAATTCTCTCACCCTCCCGCGCTTCTGACTGTACCCAGTGCTTGTATAAATAAATAAATAAATAAAAACAAAAAAAACGCAAAAAAACAAGGGGCTACTAGATTTGATTGACTCATTTTTCTCTATTTCCTCTTTAAAAGATTCAACAAAAGAACGTGTTGCTATATTGTTTTTACATTTGTAACTATTGTTTCCCTTTGTTTAAACTTTTTTCCTAAGATTTATCAGTGTAATGTGTACACAAATATCTATTATATATGCATTTTTTAAAGTACACAAATTATCAAAATCTTGCTGTGTTCTCCTCTAATACAGCATCTGTTCTAAAAGCCAAGGGAATACAATTTGTATATGTCAAAGGTCTTCAGAAAAATTTATTTTTATCACAGAGATTATTTAGAAGGTTAGAGAGAAATATTGCTTCAGTGTTTTGGAAATGATACTATTTATCTCTTTTAAGATGACAGAGATACAATTTTATAAGAATGATATACATGACTCTTAACTGAATATGTAATAGAATGTATTTGTCTGTGTATACATGTATAAGAACATTTAATTTTAGTTTCTTAAGCACAATGTGAAAAAAGTTTGCAGTGAATAACAAAAGATTGCTTACCTTTAAAAACATATATGGTTTAATCTAAGAAGAAAAATGAAAATGACCAGTACACTCAAGAATTTAAACTTAGGAAACAGAAATGCCTCTATTTTAAACAAATTAATTCTTTCCATGTAATGCTGTAATAACTTTATTCTAAAGTACTCTATATGGTAATAATAGCAATGTGAATGGAAAGGTCTTCAACCTCTTACCCACAGGAAATATGGCAATTGACCAGACTAATGACATAAGACATAATTGTCTATAAAAATTATAGCCTGAACTTAAAAATCTAATGAAAAGCAGGAAAGGTGACAATAAGGAAATCAATATAAAAAGAAAATGTATAAATCACAATGTAAGATATCTTCAGCAGGCTAAAATCCTGAGTAATTTATGGTTTGTTTGATTTTACTGCCCTAAAACAAACATAGGTAAACTACTTCTGATAAGTTCAACAATTCTGAAAGTTTGTAAGCATAAACATTCACTGCATATTATATAGTTTATTTCTATAAAGAAAAAACTCTCACAAATGAACAAGACAAAAATAATTAATTGAAAAAATTAACACAATCTATTATCACTCTTTATTACCTCTTCAACTGGTTTGTTTTGTTTTTCACACTGACTGCTTGCCTCAGGATTACTCAATAATTATACTAGATTATCATCAAAGAGATAGTCTTCCCCACAAAACTATAAGAGTTTTTAAAAATGTGAGATGCTAGTCCCTCCTAATTTTTAAAAATGTTAAAAACAATGCCTTTAAAACAGAAATACACAAATGCATGCTTATAAAATCTTATAGATTTATCTCAAATATTAGTCATGATCATTTAATCTACCAAGATAATCACAGTTCAAGTTACAATAAGAAA